CAAGATTTCCGCAACGCGCACCTCGGAAAATTTCTAACCATGCGGACGGACGGGGAAAAACATGGCGGACCGGCAAGAACTAGTACGGCAGAGGTTCGTAAATACAGACATTTGTATGATTCAGCTCTCAGAGATCACCGTGATCAACATGTTGTTAATAATTCTTGGAGAGAAATAGCTCGCACTGTCGGAAAAGACGAGGACGCTGTTAAAAATGCTGAAATGCCGCGTTGTAAACAGTAATTTCTACTTCTACTATGGTGTAGTGTTGGATGCATGCTGTAGAGCTCCATGCTGCCCCCTACAGTTTGGGAGAGTATTGGCTCACCGCTGAGACGAGCCGCACGAACCATAAACGCTGCAAGTTGTGAAGCGCGTTCCATCCGCGAGCCGCATCACCAAGCAGAAAGTGAATGCGTCAAGCATAAACCGAGCTTATCAGCACAAAGGTCCAACAAAGCTGACCAAGTGGGGGAAACAGCACACCACCAGCTGCTCCCCAACTGCAGGCCGATCAGGAAGTCTCTTATAAGCCACCCAGCAGCTGATTGCTGGATGACTCCCAGCTGGTCCCAGGTGATGGGCGGTGGAACCAGGAACAAAGCCAATTGAATCCCCTGGGCTGCATGCTGAAGAATATGGAGAGCCGGGCTGTACACTCAGACAAAAACTAAACTAAGTACAGAGACTTTTCTAGAGGCATGAAACCAGGGATCGTAACAGTGTCCAAGACCCCAGGCTAAAGACTGTTACAGAGCCTCTGGGATTATGCAAATCTAGGAAATAGAAGCTGATGTGTCTCATCAGTTTAGCAACATAACTAGGAATTGATTTTGTGTGATTTGATTAACGTACGTGGAAGCTATTTAAGAAAATTTAACTTTTTCCCATTTTATCCATCCATCCATCCATTTTCCTCCTTTATCTAGGGTCAGGCCTCGGAGGCAGCAGCCTATGCAGTGAGGAACTGATGTCCCTCTCCCCAGCCACTTAGGCCAGCTTCTCCAGGGAAATTCAACGGCCTTCCCTGGCCAGCAGAGAAACAAAGTCCCTCCAGCGTGTCCTGGGTCTACGTTTAGGTCCCCTTCTGCTTGGACATGCCTGGAAAAGCTCACCAAGGAGGCATCCTTACCAGATGCCTGAACCAACTTAACTGGCTCCTCTGGATGTGGAGGAGCAGCGGGTCTACTCCAAGCCCCTCCTGGATGAGCGAGCTTCTCACGTTATCTCTAAGTGAGAGCCCAGACACCTTGTGAAAAAAACTCGTTTCAGCCACTAGTATCTGTGATCTCATTCTGTCTATCACTACCCAGATCACAGGGTTTCCCTTACATAGGCGTAGCCGTGGCGGGCCGCCACGGCTGAAATCCCACCGCCACGCCTACAACATCCCAAGTTTTATTGATGTTTTTTTTTTGCGCCGTTTCCCGAAGAAGCAGCGGGAACTACTGTGTTGTTGCTTGTGATCACAGCCGGCAGGTAGCAAGGAGGAGGAGGAGGCAGGGTGGTTACAGCTATGAGCGTACGGATAAAGCATTTTTGACGAATACGAGCAAGAAACGAGTGTAAAACTCGTAAATATCTGTAATCGTGCTGAATGAAATCCTCATTGGGTAACTGACTGTCTTCATGCTCTGTGATTGGCCAGTCAGATAGAGCGCCCGCCCCTCCTTACACGCAAAACTGCAGCCGGGAGCTCCGTCAGCTCGGTCCAGGCATCAACGCACACACAGACAGTAAGCCGGGTGTGCACTGTGAGACTTTTTCACTTTTTTGAGCAGATTTTCCAGTCGTGCGAGAATCCACAAGATCGGGGCGAGTTTTGCGCTGAGCGTCGTGTAGTGTACAGGGGGTTACGAGAGGCGATTAACACCACGTGACCAGCTACCGATCAGCAATCGTGAGCTCGCACGGACTTCCGGAGTGTTTAATATTTATCTCGTTCCTCATGAGGGTTGAAGCGGCGCTGCGAGCGGCAGCAACCCAAAAAGTATCAGAACCGCTCACGGCGCATTCGCAATCCTGCATCAACTCCGTTCACCCGCTATTTCCCTAATAACACACGTTGTTTGTTTTTATTTCTACACGTTTTTTTACTCACAAAGATTGTCAAGAAAGCGTGTTTGTCGTGTTCATGTCAAATTAAACTGATCACAAAACACAGATTTACTTTCTTTATTTCGTTTCCTCATCCAACCCCCATAAATCCCTGTGTGTCCTCCTGCAGCACTCCCGAAGGACAACAGGCAAAACAAGACAAAAAAGTCTGACGTGTTGTGTAAAAACTGCTATTTTTAGCATATTTTAGGTCAGACGTGATGCTACCAGACGTACAGTGTGAGCACATGACTCGTGAGATCTGCCCTGCGCTGAAGTCGTACAGTTTGAGCTGAAGCTGTGTTACGAGTGAAAAAGTCGCACAGTGTCCGCCCAGCTTATTATAATGTTCACTGTAATGCATCTTGATGTTCTTAACAAATAAATTAAATCAAAGATATTGGTCAATAATGCCAAATATCAGGGGCGGCGTTAGGCCCGGCTACTTGGGCTGAAGCCCCGGATCTTTCATGATAAGCCCCGGATCTAAATCGCGGAAGTAACATGCAGTACCAAAGTCACACAGAGAGGGCGCAGCTGGCAGTAGTTTGTAAAGTCCCATTTAGTCGTCACACACACAGGTGTGTGGTGAAATTTATTCTCCGATTTTGACCCATCCCCTGAGTTGCAGACACGCCGCGCTCGGGAACTATTTGGTGGTTTAACCCCCCAATCCAACCCCAATCCAATGCTGAGTGTCAAGCAGGGAGGCATTGGGTCCCATTTTTCTCAAAATCTTTGGTATGACCCGACCAGGAGTCGAACCGCTGATCTCCCGATCTCGGGGCAGACACTCTACCACTAGGCTACTTAGTCAGTATACAGTTTACCTGAGACTGAAGAGAAGCCCTTCAGCAGCTGGCTTCTGCAGTCTCTGAAACGCATGAGTGAAGATGGATATAAGGACGTTTTTTTAGACCAAAAGTACAACGACAGAACCCCAGCTCTGATGAGACTGGTGTTGACTCAGGTTTGTGAGTCTTATTTGAAAATATTTGTTGTGCTGCTGGTTTGCCTAAAGTTAGCTTACTATCAGGTAAAGTTGTTGGAGAAAGAAAGGGAATATTCACTATCATCTCACACTAAACACTAACAGGAACAATACTCTGCCCTGAATATGCTGAATATGTAGCTTCAGATTAAACATTATGTGGTACAAGACAAATATATATGATGTTGACTAGTGCGTGTCACGTGTGTGCGCGCATGCGTGTGTGTGCGCGTGCGTGCGCGCGCGTGTGTGCGCGCGTGTGCGCGCGCGTGTGTGTTAAGCCCCGGATCTTCTTCAGTCCTAAATCCGCCCCTGCCAAATATGTAAATTTGTGTTTCAGTCATTTTTATACTGGCTTAAAAATACTCCATTAAGTCTACTAAGCAGGGGCGTAGAACGTGTTTATTAGGGCCAGCCCAGTAATGATCTTGGACCAAAATACAGGGGGCAGAAAGTCAAATAAAGGGGGCAAAAGAAGATGTTTTTCCAGACGCCAAGAAAAATTAAATGCCAAATCCACCCTGCAAAGTGTGTCACTGAGAGTTTAAAACAGAAATCATTCTTGTGCAAATATTGGTGTATTCACCTTTAATACTAGTTATTACAATGCAGCAGTCGCTGGATTGGTGCAGTTCAAAGTGGAGTGCATCAAATAAAACAATATTAACATAAAGGTGAGACGTGTCATACCCCCCCCCCCCCCCCCCCCCCCCCGGCCAACACCACCTCCACCACAGCTGGAAAAATTCCTAGGGGAAACACTGGATCATGTGACCATAGCTGATGGTTGGAAAGTAGATCGACCAGTAAATTAACTTCCGGCTCACCTATCTGTTCACCACGATAGACCAGTACAATGCCTGCATCACTGTGGATGCAGTGCTAATCCGTCTATCAATTTTGTGCTCAGTCTTTCCCTCACTCGTGAGCAAGACCCAGAGGTACAGGCAGAACCTTGTTGCTGTCATGGAGAGGGCATTCTACCCTTTTACGATTCAAGACCATAGCCTCAGAGAATAGAGGAGCTGATTTTCATTTCAGCTGCTTCACATTCGCCTGCAAACCGAGAGAGAAAACTGGAGATCACGGTCTGATGAAGCCAGCAGGACAATGATCTCTGTAAAAAGCTGAAGCTTAATCCTTAGGACATTTATTAATTCCACAAAAAATATTTAATAAAATGAAATATGTTAACAATTGTTGTTTCTCATTGGATTAGATCACAAAACCTGGAAACTACTGAAGAAAATCAAAGTTTTTTATAAAATGAATAAAAAAATATCATTGTATGAAATATGCAAAAAACTGCATTGAGTCATTGGTCTAGCTCTGTAACATCATTGGTTATTCGTACCCAAATGGTCTTGGGTAATAAAAGCAAGGAACCCAGGATCTATGGAAAGAAATCACTTCATTTTTGATAAAAATTCTAAAAAAAAAAACATCAGATCTTGAATGTTAAAAAAATATAACTGTTGCCACTTATTGGTCTAGCTTAGTAACACCACTGATTGGTACTTAGAGCAATTAACATGATAAATCTGGATAATGATAACATGGGTAATAACAAAAAAATTATTTAAAAAAACTACAAAAAAGATCAATTTTATCAAATGTGTTTTTGTTTTGTTCATTTAATTTAGTTAGACTGTTGACAGTTTATTTAGAGTAATTTAATCAAGTAATTTGGAAGATTTCGATTTTTTAGTAGTCGTTTTCAGTGACGGCGGAACTTGAACATGGCATGAAAACCCATCGCTGACCGTGGAGTGAATGTCTGTCACATATCCAAGTCAAATTAAACACACACACACACACACACACACACACACACACACACACACACACACACACACACACACACACACACACACACACACACACACACACACACACACACACACACACACACCTGTATCCATGCTGTCCAGATCCAGATGGTGACGTAAACACGATGAATCAGTCCCAGCTGATGGATGATCCTGAAGTGGTAGCAGGTTTTCTTTAGCCGTGTTTAGCTAACAGCTGCAATAGAAACAAAGCAGGAGAGCTGATTAAGATGCTGCTTCAGAACAACTCATGAGATTAAAGATCCAACGCTTTGGTTCTGATCAGCTGAGGACAGATCCAGTCTGGAAAAGAGGACCTTTGGTCACCAGAGTTCACGGAGTAGAGCTAACCGCTTTTTCCTCCAGAGTCACATTCAGATTCGGGGCTTTTCCGTCGGAGAGTGTGAGCAGGATGGATCAGAGAGCGAGCAGCGATCCTGCATCATGACCAACTCAGATGAGCGAGTCTGATAGAGGGAACCTCTTCAATCTGATGAAAGCAGCTAAACGAGCGCGTTTCTCAGAGAGGCCAAAGGAACAGCAGCAGACCCAGAGGACAGGAAGTCTAGAGAAAAGCTTTTCTGACCCATCACCTGCTTTTGGAGCTCCGATTGTCACGAAGACCGCAGAATATCTTCTCTGCTTCTGGAAAGAACTCGCACCAAGTTGTTGAGGAGGAGAAAGTTTCCACAGCCTGGTAAGAAGATTTCTGCAGCAGTTAGTCGCTTTAGCTGATCAACTCTCCCAGAGACTGAAGTGAAGACATTTTGCAACAAGCTAACTCTGCTAACAGCTTCCGGTTTGCTTCTGCGCAACCAACGTAAGTTAAATTACCGCCTCCTAGTGGACAGAAAAAATAAGATATTATTATTATTATTTTAACGAAGTTCCATTATCTAAATCTGACCAAATCTCATTTTCTCTTGACTTTTTGACCCTTTAACCGCTTTGATGTTTTTCTTTAGGGGCAGAAAAAAGCTTTATGAATATTTTAGGAGAAAACGTTTTGTTTGTTTTTGTTTTTAAGTTAGGCAGCCGCCCCACAAGTAGAACAAAGTTTAGGGAAGGTGCTAATTTAGTAATTGTTTCATGTAATGCTTGATGCGTCCACCAGAGGGCGACAGTAACCGTCTTAATTTTGAAGGCAAGGTAACTTTATAGCACACTTCACACACAAGAGGCAATTCAATGTACTTCCAATTAGCAAGAATAGCAAGAACATTAAAATCAACGTGACAGCAAAATTAAAATACACACAAATCAAAATTAGGTTTAAAAAGAAAAAGACTAAATTAAAAGGAGAGCAGTTACAGTGCAGAAAGCTCAGTATAAGAACATTCATTCAAAGGGTGATGAAAACATGAAGGTTTTTAATTTCGATTCAAAAGCTACTAGAGTTGGGGCACATTGAAGTCATGAGAAAGCTGATTCCATCTGTGTGTAGCTAAAAGCAGCTTCACCCTGTTCCGACCTGGGGTTCTACCAGCTGATTTGCTTCCTAAAGATCTCAGAGTTTTTGTGGGCTACAGGAAGGAGGTCAGACATGTATTCTGGCACCATGCCATTGACTGATTTATAAACCAGTACAAGTACTTTGAAATCAGTTCTGTACTTTACTGGTAACCAGTGTAGAGATTTAAGAACAGGAGTGATGTGCTCAGTTCTCTTAAGAGGTTTTACTTTTAGCTGCTGTTTAAGTGGAACCTGTTCTATTCTGATGGTGTGTTGTAAAACATTAAAGCTGTTATTGACCAGTTTGTTCCTTATAGATGTAAAACATTAAATGTCAGATTTATTTTTCTTCTTGTTTCTAATCAGTAGAAAAAGAGAACATTGACCAAATGATGAAAGTTTGTTTTCTGGAGTAAAAACATTAAGTGATTAAACTTGTTTTACTTTGTAAAGAAGACAAACATTCAGCCTGACTGAGTCATTAAAGATGGAAACTCTGGCTTTTTAGTTTTAGTCTGAAGAAGGTCAGAGACCTGAAACGTTACATCAGTAAAATGATTCTTTGAGAGTTTGGTTTGACGAGGGATTCTTTGGTTCAGCTCCACTTTAGATTTTCAGCTCCTAGTTGAAGTGGTGATTTTCACATGAAAGCAGAGCTGCAAACTTACAGAGCAGAACCTGCTAGAGTCCAGTCAGCACATGGGTGTGTCCGAATCCACGGGCAGGATGCTTACGAGTACGGGTCCTTGCTAGACCGCTAAGACCGGCGGACAACACCACTTTGTAATCTCGATAGTTATCTTACCGGTCTCCTTTTATTTCTTACACCAGAGTTGCACTTCTGCTTTCGGCTAAAATGCACAAAACGTGCAGACAGCATTCCAAAGAACCCGTCAAAACCATCCTATTCACGGCGGACGTCACCACTTTATCTCTGGTCAAAAAGGAATTTCTCTCGGTACCACAAAGACAAAACAAACAAACAACAAACTTGTCTCACCAAATCTCTCCACTTCAGGGCTTGAGTTTGTGGATCCGCATTCCTCCCAGCGACGTCAAGACCCTCACCGACCCCCCAGCAAAACTCAGCGCTTGGAGGAGATTTAGGTTGTCGACAGTCCTCCGGTGTCGGTTCTAGACGCCGCGAGGTGACGGGACCCCGGCTCTCGAAGGACCAAATTATGTAAGGGATTTTATCAATGAATCCATTTCCTGCAGCTAGAGAGAGAAAAGGAGACAATGAGGCAGACATACAACCAAATCATGATTTGTGGCAAGTGCGCAGGGCAAATGCCCCGAACATCTGGTCAGAGTTTATTTATACAAAAGATAAGAAAGGAATGGGAGTGGATCATGTGTGAGAGTGAGAGTGAGTGTATGTGTGAATGTTTTCAGGACATTCAGTTAATAGATTTGTTAATAGGACTAAAGTAATCCATCCATCCATTTTCAGAACCCGCTTTGTCCATGTAGGGTCGCAGGGGGGGCTGGCGCCTATCTCCAGCGGTCGATGGGCAATCAGGCGGGGTACACCCTGGACAGAGTGCCAGCCCACACAAGACAAACAACCATGCACACACACTCACTCACACCTAAGGACAATTTAGACAGACCAATCAACCTAACAGTCGTGTTTTTGGACCGTGGGAGGAAACCGGAGCACCCGGAGAGAACCCACGCATGCACAGGGAGAACATGCCAACTCCATGCAGAAAGATCCCAGGCCGGGAAGCGAACCCAGGACCTTCTCGCTGCAAGGAAGCAGCTCTAACCACCGCACCACTGCGCAGCCTTAGGACTAAAGTAATGAAATATATCATTTCCATAACACTTTTCACTCACAAACACCTTTTCAGATTCATGGATTCAATCTGGTTCTTGTTGAAACTCTTCTAAAAAATTCCTTGTGAACTTCTAACTAACTAAAACTTTATTTATGTAGCGCCTTCACATGGCCCAAGGACCAAACAAAGCGCTGCACAGCAGAAATAAACATTAAAAAAACATATAAAACCATTTAAAAACCAACAAAAACATGCAGATAAAATCTAGGTGGGGCAGCAAAAAGTGCAAAGCCATCAGTTAACGGGACTCTTCCTGAATAAAAGCTAAAGAATAAAAGCGTGTTTTCAGCTGGCTCTTAAACTTGCTGAGCGTGGTTCTTCCTCTTCCAGTACTTTAAATATGGAAGCTGTGATGATTCCAGGATCCAGACGTTGTTTTTCTGTCTGTTTCCACTCAAAGCTTCACAGTCAACATCACTATGTTGTGTTTGTACACATGTTTGATTTCCAGTGTTGATTTGTCAAACTTTATCAGCAATGGTCCATTTTTGTTCTCTGTAGTTTCTGAGGAACATCTTGTCAGTAAACCCTAAAAGAAGAAGGTTCTGAGCCACTAAAGTGGAGAGACTTCAGGCAGAAATGTGCAGATTTCTACTGATATACTGGAATCCAGATAGAGCTCTGTGCAAACCAGTGGAACTAATCCACTATTCAGATGTGATGATTTACAATAGACTGGTGTAGGAGTCAGGGGGGAGAGAGGACATGCAGGACTACATGGTTCCATATTTATGAACCAGTCTGTTGCAGAACTCCGCTTTATTCGTGTTGTCAGTCTAAATTCTGATGTTGCTTCTTTTCATTTGACATGATTCTATTTAGCATTTGTCATTTCTTTAGATTTAATGGTTTTGTAGAGAATCAAAAGCTGAGTCAGATCCAAGTTCTTCATGAAAACTGGTTGAACGCCTATGAAACGATCAGAAACCGATAAAAAGTCTCTGAAAAAGATTTAAATATTAGATCAGAATAAACTAAGAATAGAATACTGTTTAGAGTTTTCATGAATTTATTGGTTTTTGGGTTAGGGATATACGTGCGTTAGGGTTATATTTCTACTACTAATGATGATACAGAAAAAATTATGATGAATAACGGTTGAAACAAGATAACTGTGTAACGTCACGAATGGCCTGATTTTCAGATCCCACAGGTCAAATGCACGGCCAGGTCAACTTACCTTGGCTACCAAACATCCTACAGAATCTCTTCCCCTCACAGGAGCCTGAGAGTCTACATGTAGGCCCTTTAATCAGAGCATGCTTCCTCATATCAGCTGGACTGCAGCTCTAACAGATAATAAAAAAATAAACAATAACATTTTCTTCCAAGGTCCATCACAGACGAACTCTTTTAAATAAGCTCCTTAATTCCCAGATGGAAGAAGAAAAGAAGATTTTTATAATTAAAATTAATCATTGAATGAACTTTTGTTATTGCTGATGTAACCCAGAAGCTAGAACCTTAATGAGGTATTAACTAATTGGCTTACTAATATGATCCATCCTCAATTTAGATAAAATATAAAATATAAATTAAGGAAATTAACAATACTAATTAATAGATATCTAATTAACTAATAGATAATTTCATCATGAATTATTGGAAGGGTGAATAACTAAAATAACGAGTTTAATATTAAACATCGGTTAAAACAAGAATCTTGAACATCACTAACAGAAACAGAAGAGGAAAGCTGTATACTATTGGTCCAGGTGGGAATCTGAAATTTCATTGGCTGAGAGAAATAAGTCCCGCCTCCGCGAAATAAAACCGTGCGACGCAGCTGAGCGAGAGGAGAGACAAACGGCTGTGTAGCACGCAGATACAGAAAGCAAAGACTGAGCGGTTAGAGAGAGAGAGAGAGAGAAAAAAAAACAACGGTCGAGGCCGTGAAGAACCCTGATTTGGGTGCCGCATAGATAGAGGGAGAGGCGGACTTGACTCCTTCTAATAAGAGCTAGGAACTTGGAACCAACGCGGTGAGTAAAGAAAAAAGAAGAGAAAAAGCTAACGATGCAACTTAAAAAAAAAAAGGAAACTTAAATAGCTTATCAAATTAATTCCATTCTTATAGATTTGTGTGGAGACGACAGAGTGAACCAATCCTCTGTAGGAGGGAACCGTTGGAGCGCGTTGGTGAGTGAATGAGATTAAATTCAGTAAATTATTAAATTCAAAAAGCTAATTACAGCAACCGAGGTGACAGCAGTGGGCTGCTAGACGTTAGATCCCAGGAGTTAACATCTCAAACTACCAGTTAACGGTGGTAGGGCATATAGGAGTTAACGGCTCAAACCGCCAGTTAACGGCGGTACGGCATATGGGATTCCCAGGAGTTAACGGCTCAAACCGCCAGTTAACGGTGGTACGGCCTAGATGTACAAGGTCCTCAGGGGCGTTATAGCTAACGCCATAGAATTAGCAATGCGTCCCTTAACCAAACATTTAATAATAAAAAAAAATAGATAAATAAAAATAAATAAAAGCTAACTGATTAGGGAGGAATTATTTTACAAAGGTGGACCAAAGGACCAGAATTTATATTTTGTTTAATTTTGTTATAGAAAATTTTATTTATTTATTTATTTATTTGTTTGTTTATTTATTTATTTATTGTGTTACAGATATACAAGGTGTCACAATGCTGTATAGAAACACAACTAAATGTATCCTTGTTGTCATGAATGTATTTCTTGTCGAATAGTGTAGAGTAATAGAATCTAACTGAGCCTATTGAGCTGAACAATTGTTGTCATATGTAATTATATTTCCAGAGCTACTGAGAATTATTTTAATAGACAATCAAATTGATGTTATGTTAGTTGAACTGTGAACCCAAACATGATTGGCTATGCCAATAGAGTGAAGCATTTGTTTAAGTCTGTAAGACTTTATGCTGTGATGTGACGAGAAGGGTCGATGCCAACTTGCTAACAGTCCTGTTGTTTACAGGCTGGGTTTTTTTTTTTTTTCCTTGGGTTTGATCCCGACTCCTATGATCACTCACTTGGAACGAGAACTGGATTTCTTCCTGACGAGGGAGATGGCGAGCCTTAACCACTGAACGAACCAGGACATCTCAAGTAACTGAAGAGCAGACTGCTCTCTTCTGTGAACAATCTCAACGGTGCGGTAGGAAAAAATCGCACCACCGGACTCTGACTTTCACCCCAAGCGTGGGGATTTGACTTGACGCCGGCTGACTTGTGACTCATATGATCAAATCTCATACCGAGCATTTTACTATTGTCGATTGTTTTCATCTGTTTTTGTGTGTTATCTTTATGTGTTATATTTCCCATTATTATTAAAATTTAGTATATAAACCGTTTCATGCTATACCCGTGACTCCAGTCATTCTTAAACAACCTCCAATTCTCCCCGAACCTAATTATTGGCCCATTTGTTTATTTTTTCTTTTAATTATCTTATTGTATCCTGTAATCCGGTTACATAAAACTTGGCGAGCCAGCCAGGAGAATTGTAGAGTTGTTACCTTAGCTAACCATTGACTGACATCATAAGAGTGCCTGGAGGTCACAGTGGTTTGCCATTTTGGCATTATTGGTACTTTTGAGTGTTTTAAAATGGAAGTTGTAAAAACAGAAAAGGTCAAGGTTTCAAATGCTGTTTTAATCAGTGGGTTAACTGATACAGACCTTGATAACGA